GAGTGAGCCCCATGCACCATATTTCTGTATCCTTTCTGACACCCCCATACAGTAGAACCATACCAGTGTTGCTCCTGAAGAGGGTTGGGGGGTAGAGTTTCCATAAAAGGGACACATTTTCTCCATTTATAATAGCAATTACTATCTCCAGGAGGGCCATTTCCTACCAGTGAATGACTAGCTGAGTTTTGGGGCCCCCAGTTACACTATTCTGTCCATTGATTACTACTTGCCAAAACATGCTCTCACTATTGGCCATTCTTGCTTAAGTCGTGTCTGTCCTAGTATCAGTACAATCAAATGGAAAGTGGCCAACAATTACCTGATTTGAAAGGAGATATTTATGTTCACCGTATGCTGTTCAGCTGACAAAAATTCAGTGGGAAAAGAAGCTGATGATACAAATGAGACTCTCAGCCAGCAGAAAGCAAGTATTCCCAGTAGTTATCTATCATATCATATATCATATCATATCATATCAAGGTCAGATGAATGGAAAGCATTCAGTGTAAGAACTGAAGTGTTTTGTTAAAACAAGCTGACAAATCAAAATGGGAAGGTAGACTGTACTGTGGTTAGAATAAAGAAATGGACTGATTGTCGAACTCGCTAATTAGTTCAGAGCTAACAGCAACTAAGTACTAATGAACGTTAGGTATGCTGAGCCAGTAACCTCACAGACACGGGTGCTTTCACAGCAGCCCAACAAGTTAGGTCTACTAAGCCACTAAACTCACCCAGGTCTGAGTCTTAGAGTCCAGCTACATTACAGCTTAAGTCGATATAACATATGATGCTCAGCGCTGTAAATAAGCCATCCCCACGCGACATAGTCCACACCAGCGCTTAGGTTGGTGTAGCTTATGTCGTTGGGAGAGCTTCATAGCTACCGTCGCTCGTTGGCTGTGTTCTAATTAAGTTGACAAGACAGCTCTCACCCGTCAGCTTAGAGCGTCTGCACTAGTAGTGCTATAGCAGAGCAGCTGTAAGCTCTCTAGTGTAGCCATAGCCTTAGTATCATCATCCCAGAAAGGTGGAGGTCCTGAGCCAGAGACCTCGAAGAGGTGCCTTAGCATAAGCCCTACAGGAAAGAAGTAGTGAGTCACTAGCCTCACTGAGGCCTGTGCCTGGACATCAGCCCAGCCTGCTAAAGCTGTTGAGCTACTGACTTCACAGGGGCCTGAGTCTCAATATCAGATGAGTAAGTTATGGCTGGTTAGCCAGTAACTGTACAAATGTCTGTGTCAGCCCAGGAAGCTCGATGTGCTGAGCCAGAGACCGCATAGAAATCTGGTATTTACATAAGCTTGTACTTTATGGTATGCTAGAAATGCTGATCCAGCAAACTCAGAGGTCTGCACCTTGACATAAGCGCAGTAACCCAAAGATGCTGAGCCAGTATCACAGATGCCTATGCCTTGACACCAGACCAGCAAGCCAGAAGTGTTGAGCCAGGAATACATACAGAGCTCTTTGGGGTACTATAGCTTCTTAGTCTCTCTAGGTCCTCCACCTGTTATTACAAATGAGTCCACTCTTCTTGCAAGCTATGAGTGCAGAGTCCGGCACCAGTAGCAGGTATTTTTGTGCTTTCTGGCAACAGGATCTGCAAGGATCTTCTTGCTACTTTTACAGGGGCAGTGCATGACTGTACTTTGTTCTTTTCCATGACAAACAACATTTTTATGTTTAAAAGCAAACACAAATGTAGGTTATTAACCCCTGACCCCAGATCTTAAACTGAGCTCCCCTGCAACCATGTTCCACAGCTGCACAAAAAGAATTCAGGTTAGAAGGAAGTAAACCAGAGGCCCACTCAGAAGAAGCTGAGTAAAGTACAAATAATGTATGTTTGAAACTGTAGAAAAAGCAGTGGATTCCTACAGAAGAACTGGATCTAGGTTCAGGTGTTCACATACATAGGATTGTGACTGCTGACACCTAAGAAATCAGTACAACAATTATATCCAAGATAGTGGTGTGTATTATTTTAACAGCTGACATATCACAAGGTTGAATAGAAGAATGGATGCAGGATGAGAGCAAGTAATGCCATTAGTCAATGCAATAGACATTTTCATCTGGGGGCCAGGGTTCAAATTCCAGTTTTGGTCACAACTGAAAGCAACAGTGATGATCCCGACCTGCTCTCCATCAGTTCACAATGCCAGACCATCACACAAGTGGACACCATTGGCAGCCTCTGCTCAAGAGAGGTCCAGGGCTCAAAGAGCAGGAATGGTGTTGGCCAAGCAGAGCTGTGTGTGGAAGTTTACATGGCACCTGTATGCATTACACACACGTCTCAAACTATTAATCCTTTCTTTCCATGACCAATAAATAAACTCTCAAATATTTTAAAGAAAGGAAAACAGAGCTGGGAGTGATGAACTTTTAAGCTGCATGAAACATTTTCAGTTTCATGAAAACCTAGGGGTTACAAAAAAGAAAAAGAAAGAAAGAAAGAAAACGTGAGTGCCAGGCAAGCTAATTAATAAAGCCTAAAGAACTAAATGAGAAGGATAATGATCAGACAGTGGGCCAAATCCTGACTCTAGTGGGACTACTTGTGCAGCCGAGCAAACATGACTTAGCCCAGTTTTGTCTCATGGGTCACATTTCTGGTTAGAAGTAATAAAAATGCCATTCCCCTCCCAATTATTGTGCTCTGAAAAAAATTATCTGGAATATAGATTTTAGAATTTGGAATTCTCCCAGAATTTGGACACGGAATTACCTTACTCAATTGGCTCTTTAAAGGGGTCACGAGGTCTTATATTTTTTTCCAAAGATAAATTAAGGTGCTTAATTTCCTGGAAAAAAGATTACCAATATTAAGCTGAACAAAATTAGATACATGCATTATTAAGCAACAAGACATTTATTCAGGACACATTCCCAGAGTCCAGAACTGGTCTACTAGTTGGACTTCTGGTTTTCCCACATCTGTCATCACAGTTCATGCCAGCAGCTTGAGAAATAAAGCAAACAGAATTTTAGTAACAAAGGAAATATGTTAAATATATAGTAAATTAAAAGTCTTCATTAGCATTTTATGCTCTGTAACCTCCACCACCAAAGAATGAAGCCATGGTAATAAAACCATGAAACATGAAAAGTCAGGAGCCTTATACATAGGCAAAACTGTCAGATAGGTATGATTCAGCATGGATGTGGATTCACAGATAGCTAGGGACTAGATCTGGGTAAATAAGGCCTGATCCAGTTCTCATTTAAGATAGTGGTAGTCTTTCCATTGACCTAAATGGGAGTTGGATCAGGGACAGTCTCAGAAAAAGCAATTACGACTATTTTGCTTTCATTGTGTTCACACACGTTTTTATTTAACATTCACACAAGAAAAGTATTATTTCTATGAATGTTCATGGAAAGTGAATTTTGAACCAGTGGCCAAGATTTGTTAAATCACAAAACATTTGTTTTTATTACTCAATTAAATTAGTGTCAGGCAAAGGCAGACTTTGCTGTTACTATTGATTTTACATAGAAAGAGCTCAGATATTCCAGTGATGGACAACAGTCTAAAACCCAAAGATAGCTACACAGAAGTTGTTTATGAAGGTTAGATCATCCAACCAGGGAACAGAAAGAATTTGATGTGACTTAGGTTACACTACTCATGCAACTCAAATATCAAATACACCTCTACCTCGATATAACGCGACCCGATATAACATGAATTTGGATATAACTTGGTAAAGCAGCGCTCCGGGGGGGCGGGCCTGCGCACTCCGGTGGATCAAAGCAAGTTCGATATAATGCGGTTTCACCTATAACACGGTAAGATTTTTTGGCTCCCGAGGACAGCGTTCTATCGAGGTAGAGGTGTACCTGAAGAAATACTCACAGTAGTCAGTTCATTGACAATCCATGGGCTGAGATTTGTTCAGGAAAAAATAATCACCAAACACTTCTGAATAGTGAACAAATTCACAAAAATCACTCGTTACTCAGAATTTGTAACCTAATCTGTCCACTGCAATTTTTTCACCCAACTACTAAAGACGTTTAGATGATAAAACAAACTAGTACCACCTAGGGCTATGTAAACACGTTGATAGTGTGTATAGAAAGCAGGAAAACAAAACCTAATTCTGCTTAGATGATGGTAAAATAGAAAAAAAATAGCAAAATAAGAAAAAATTAGAAAAAAATGTGTTAAGTTAAATCTAAGTTAATAGGTAACGTTTTCCACAACCTGAAGGAGGCTTCCGGATGAGGTGAACTCTACCTACTAGCCTAATTTTCTTTTCATTGCCTACAAAAGGACTCAAAGACATAATATCTCCTCTTAATTTTATACCTTAATTTTCATTTTGTAGCTATTATTCTATGAAACTTTTTTTACCCCAAAGTTCATTTCATTGAAGGTGGCACAAATATCTAGTCCGGCTTGTGATTGTCAGAAGTGAAAAGTTTTAGGAAATTAAATATTCCATGTCAGTGAAGAGCCTGAGGGGGATTTTAATGCCCATTTGACACAAGAGCAGACCTTTATCTGAGAACACTTAAAAGAGTCACAGAATTTTCCTATTCTTCCATCTTCCTTCCCCTTGTCCCTATCTCCACACTTCAAAACTGATATACTATTGCCCTGCTTGAATGATGCCAGTCTAAATAGAGAGGCCCAGAATAACCTACTCTCTCATCCCAGGAGGTTTATCCTATCAGGACTGCACTGACAGTTGGGGCCTGATCCAAAGCCCATTGAAATCAATGGAAAGATGTCTTTGATGCATATTAGCAGGTAAACTTGCACTGCTGTTGCCTGTTCTGTGAGCTAGTATGGGTACAAAGCAGAGATGAGTTACTCCAGCATAGCAAATAATTACCCTATCTATAATAGCAAACAATAGCATACACATGTTCTGCAAGTGGGTGGACACCCATTCAATGGAGGGAGAGAGACATAAGGCAGAAGTGATAATGTCCTCTTGGCGTGGCAAAGAAGAGGTATGTTCATAAGTCATCTCATTTTATTGTAACATTTGAAGTGCTGTATAAAGCCTACACTTTACAGTCTGCACATGCACCGTTTTCATTTTTAAAATTTAAATATTTATTTTCATGAGAGAAAACATGCATATTTATGTACACAGTTTTTTTTTAAATCTCCATTTACATAACCAAAGTCCTTTGTACGAATCTTTGGAGAGAAAAGGCAGGTGGCAGCAACTTTGCAGATGGCAAACATTTAAACTTGATATTGAAGATGCAGTTACTGCAAGACATTAGTGACTGCAGAAGAGGGTCGTTTAAGGATTGATTCAACAGAGAATGATAGAGGCTCATTTGCTGAGAGTTTTGTTGCAGCTTGTTTGGCCCCAAAAAAGTCTTTTGAGTATCTATCTATTGTAAATTTGTACTTTTGGTTCTCTTTGATGGAGCACTCTCTGTACTTCTTAGATGCCTCTTCAAAGCTCTCTTTTACAAATGATGTTTTTAACTCAGGCCCTGATTTGTCATGAAATGTTTGCTGTAAAAATGAGTGGAACGGATTATACTTGAGTGCTTGAGGGTGCTTGGTATTTTCTTTGCTGATCTTGCTTAAGATGTGTTCTTCAGAAGCCAGAGAATCCTTCTCAGAAATCTGTGGGAAAGTCCTTTTAGGAGGAGAGAAAGCAGACCTCTCACGGGCCTCCTGAGGGACACACTGAATTTCTCGAGCATGAGAAAGCACAAGTGAATTTTCAGTTTTTGGTGACATCATGTCCTGCTCTGAATTTACACAATCCTGGCCTTGTGAAGTCTTCGAGTCCCAGGCTGCCCCAGGTTTGAGAGCTTGGACTGCCGTAGCATTCAGTAGGCATTGCTGATAGAGAAAAGCATCACTAATGGGGCTACGCTTTGGCCATACCAATAATCTGGAGGACAAGGGATATTGCCTGTAGGTAGTGGCTACACTGACATTTGAAGAAATCAGTTCCATATTCCCAGATCCTGAATACTGCATGGTTAAGTCAAGACAGGTTGGTAAGAAGTTGCAAAACTCCTTGCTAGGATCTTCAACCTGGGTAGGGTTAAAGGCAGTTTTATAGGAATTGTATTCAGTTCCATGCACCATATGGTTAGGCAGGAAAAGGGCAGCAGCTTGAGTGGCTTCCATCATCTCCCTTTCTTTATACTCTCTCTCTAACATAATGTTCTCCAGCTCTTTATCAGCAAAGGCCCGTCTTTTTCTCATCCTGTCACTTACAGGAGGTGGCAAAGGTGAATTCCCTCCCAGGTAAGGATCTGCTGGCATGGGGCGATAACCTAAAACAACAAGATATGGGTATGAATAAATTAAAGTAACTAAAACAGGATCACCTATCTGTAATGTTTGTAAAAGGACAGGAATGCTAATGTGGAGCTCAATCCTGCAAGGACCTAAGCACTTCCTGCAAAATCCTGAATGCCTTCAACTCCCAAGGAAGTCACCTTGCTGGAAGTGCTCAGCACGTTGCACAGCCAAGCCCGTGTAGTATATAGATGCTTCCAGCATATATAGGGCCAAATCCAGCTCATTTTACTCAGGTAAGTAGTTCTGGTGAAGACAACAGGATTACTTACATAAAGGGTCCAATCCAACTCCTACTGAAGTCAACAGCAGTCAAAGTGAGCTGAGATTTACTCCTCTATTTTACTTGTTATGCTGGAATTTCATTCCTCCATTTAAAATTATTTTTTTTAAAGTGACAATTTAAAATATTTAGATTATTTTACTTAAAATTAAAGAAAAAATACAAATTACTTAAAATTGCAACATTTTCAATTAGGAGACCACACTAATTAGATTCACTTAATATAATGTACTGGGCCCAATCCTGTTTGCTGTACCCAGACAAGTAATCCCATTCAAGTTAATAGAACTACTTATATGAGTAAGGAGAACAAGATTTAGCCCACTTTCATTCCCATTCATCTCACACTGGTTTCCCCATTGCCAAAGAAGATATCTATACCTATAGCTGATGCCATTTCTATTTTCTAAAGATGAATCATTATCTGTAACACATTGTTACAGATGGTAGAAAAATCCAAGGAGAACTAGGAGAAAAGAAAAAGAAAGTTAAGATAGATTAGGGAAAAGAATATGGAAGAGATTCTTTTTTAAAGAATGAATTGCAGAAGAAAGTAACCTGGAAAGAGTTTTCTTATCTGGCCAAAATCACTTTAGTATCTGGACAAACTTTCTTTCTAACTTAATGCAGGCAAAGAGAAAATATCACTTAATAGAACTAGACTTCATCGTTTTCATGTCTTTTTTCTAATTTCTAATTACTTGGAAAGTAACCAAAAATGGCCATATAAACAATTTTGGGTATAGGTTATAGGGTATTGAAAAAAGCAAGAATTAGCCCTTTAAAACATTTATTTATTTAATAAAAATGTACCTTAAAATGACATTGTACTATAAATAATATTTCTGGCAGCACAAAATAATGTATATCAAATTTGTTTGAAGAGTCCATTATGTTTTATATTTACAAAACGTCAAGTTCATTGCATTCATTTACAAATAAAATGAAACAAGAATAAAATCTTCTGCACTGTCAATTGTTGCCAGGTAGTTATTTACCTACATTCATTTTTACACTAAAAATGATCCTAAATTTCAATTTGCTGTTTCTAGAATCCTTTGGTTCAATTTTGTTTCATAACAAGCAGAATGATCATATTTCCTCCATCTCCATCCCAACCAAAAAAACAAACAAACAAACATACAAGAAAACGTACTAGGAGATCTCATTTGAAAGGGAAGGGAACTATTTTATGTTCTAAAACAATTCTTTGCTAGAGTCCAAAATTTTTAAATATATTCTTGATGTGCAGAGATTTGAGGCAACAGTACATCATGCTTATTGGTGTATATGCACTCCATGTGTATTGCAGAGAAAGAAATATGTCTTCAATATAATCATGTTCCCTTTAAATAATATTAGTAAATAATTAGTAGAGTTAGTGTTTATTTTTCTAATCTGTTGCATATTTAGCCTTTTTTTCTTAATTCTGTAATGAGAAACTTTTCTAAAACAGAGAGAATTCCTTAAGCTTTTAATTTGAACAGGTAGTATAAATCCTGAGATCTTCTGTAGTAGGGAGCAATTAAATACTTTTGTTTTACTTTAGATTTTTTTAGCATTATGCAAGACACTTTGTTTTCTGAGTGTTGTTCCCCCCCCCCCCCCAAAATAGCACATGGAAATCTGAGTAGGTGTTTCAGCAGCTCCTACAGTTATGATGTCTGTTGCTCATAAAGGTCAGAATGCAGGAGTGTTTTTACCTTCTAAAATGCTTTTGGCCAGCAAGCTGGGCGTCCTGACAGGCCTCTGGTAGAGTGTTTTGCGCTCAAAATTAGCCTGTTTCCCTGATAGCCCCTTCTTATCCTAGCAAGAGAAAAGAGAAGAAAACGGTCAATAAACAGAAGGACAATGGTCGTTTCCTTCCTTAAGGAAATTTTATTTTCTGCTCTACTCGTTTTAAAAGAACGGATTCAAAAGAATCAAAATGTCACTCTCCGGGTTGTAAAAGGAGGAAACGGATTTTATTGTTATAAAGAATCTGCCTTAAGTGCAGATAAACAAAACAGAAAGTGACGCAAAACGGCCGGGGTGATCGAACGTCAGTAGGAAAGAGAAGCAAGGGTGATATTTATCAGAAGCATCTAACCTATTTCTATGATCAGAGCCCGGGAGTTTGACTAGACATAACAGAGCACCGGCTTCGTGTGCACTCAAAGGAGAATGTTGGATCCTAGTGAAAATCGGAACGGCTCACAGGTCTGCATCACTATCCTTTAGTGACGCTTTCAGATGAGCCGATCGCTTAATACCAACAAACAACACCCCTCGTTTTAAATAAAAAAGGATTATTGAAAACCAACCGTTGCAAAACCCTGAGGAAATATTCTGGAGGGAAAGGAAGGTGTAGATCAGAGAGCGTGCTAAAGACGGGGAATGGCAATTCTGGAATATTTTTGCACATATGTAGACAGATTTTATAGGAGGCCTTGGTTAGCAACGATTCCATAAACGTAACGAATCTATTGAGAAAGCGCATTTACTTCCCGCTTCCCCTCGGCAACGCGGTGAAGTTGCTGAATTACACTGCCCCTTAAAACTACCCCATATATTACAAATCGCGTTACTTGAACTTGCATCTGACACAGTGGTGACAGAATGTGTTAGATCAAATTTTAATAATCATTCAGCGGCACCAGCCCTTAAAATAACTATTCATAATAACATACAAATCATTCATTCGGTGACATTGCGAACTACAGAACAGGGATTTTATTTTTATTTTTTTTGACAGTTTTGCTAGTTCCCCCCCCTGCCACGTTTCAGTACTCGGCCTCTAGCAAAGAATATTGCAAACGACTTTCTGAAAATCTCGACGCGCGATGGTTAGTCACATCCAAAGGCTAGTCACATCTCCATGAATGATTCAAATCCCAGAGTTACTCTCGGTGCTTCGTTACAAAAGTACAGGGCTGGGGCAAATAACACGCTGTCTCTTTCCAAAGCTAGGGAGCCCGTTGCTATACCATGTGGAAAGCTGTCACTTCCCAGGAGAGGAGACTGCTAGGATCTCTGCCATCCTGCGTGAACACCTCTCCACAGGAGTACCGTCTCCAATCTAGGGTTGTTGGGGTTGTTTTTTTTTTCTGTTATAAGTGATTAAATTCTTCCTTTTGAAACGAGCGAGCCCTTCTCCCGGGGCGGACAGCCTCCACCTCCTGGGATCTCTCATCCCATTCACTTCTTTACCCAGGTTCACTAAGAACCACATCTGTAAATCTCACATCACTTAACTGCCTGGGGAAATGACCAACTACCTCCCCATATGGGCTGGGGAGGGGGGGAATCTCCCTGATCCTTTTCAGCTGAGTCAAGAGGATGCCTGCGTCCCAATCAGGATAAAACAGATGCCACCATCTGCCTTCTGGTGTTGACTAGTCAGTTCCACAGATGGCAGAACAAATCGGTATTAATCATTGGAAATGGCTGCGATTTTGGGAGGCCTCTCCACATCTCCTGCTCCCCGGGAGCGCTGCTAGGAGAGGGATCGCGGCCCTCGCACAGGCGGAGTCACCTGTCCGCGCAGGGGTAATGGGCGCTGCCCGCCTCGTCCCCTCCTCACCTCAGTGGCCTGCTGCCTCCGGAGCGCCACCTGGGCGGCCATGACCCGCTGCCTCTCCACCACCAGCAGGCAGTTCGCGCACTGGCAGTCCCGCCAGCGGCAGAAGCGCTTGTGGCCCTTCAGGCAGGACACCACGCCGTGGTTGCGGCAGCGGGCGCACTTCGGGGTCCGGCTCAGCTTCCTCTGCTCCCCTCCGCTGCCCCGCTCCACCTGCTGCTGCTTGGGCTGGCTAGGGCCCCGCGGGGCCGCCCCTTCCTCTTCCCCGTCCTCCTCCTCCTCGTCGTCGTCCTCCTCGTCCTCCTGCTCCTCTGGCCCGCCGCCCTGCAGCAGGCAGGCCCCCAGCTGCTCCTCGCCCTCGTCCAGCTCCAGGCTCTCCACGTCGATCTCCCAGTCGGCCCCGGAGGCTGCCTGCCCCTCGGCCATGGCACCGCCTGGATCTGCTGCTCCGCGCTGCAAAACACAAACCCCGCCACGCGCTGCCCTTAGCAGGCTCCGTGTCCGCCGCAAGCGGGGCTGGGTGGGCCAGGCGTGCACGGCCCGCTGAGTGCATTCTCCCCACGGACACAGGCCCTGCCCCGTGCAGGGGGTCCCTCCCTGCACCCTGTCCCAGGGCTAGCCCCGCACACCACCTGACACACGCATCATGTGTTGGGCTAGCCCTGGGACGGGGTCGTGCCGGGGTTTGTGCCGACATCAGGCCTTACTGCACACACCTCACATCGCTCTCCGAGTCACACGCACAGCCTTTTTGCACGCGCCTCTAATCGATCACACATCGCTACACACTTAGCTACCAAGTCCTTATCGACACACTGATGTCAGATTTCTCCCGGCTACGCGCACAGCTCAGCTCTACCTTGCCAGGGACACACACACACACACACACACACACACCCCACCTCTTCGGGGTTATAGGGATGTCACTTCAGTCACGCTGCAAACGCGCACGTCTGGCGGCATTATTGTCTAGTGCCAGCTGCAGAGTTTGAAGTCTCAGCGCGACCTGCATTACTTCTCGGCTTTCCTGTTAAGCTATCTATTGATTTGGGCCTAGACCCTTACGTTTGCCGAAGCTGTAGATTTAGAGCCCGAACCTGCATTCCGTGAACATCCAAAACTCCCGATAACCTCCCTGGGAATTGTGCTGACCCAACGAACGCAGGACTGGCGTGGAACAGCAGAAGAAAGGGATCCAAGGGCTAATTTCCAAAAATCCCCATTCCGGTGAGCCAAGCGCAGCACGGGCTGTAGGGCTGGCAGCACCCGGCGGGTTGCAAAGTCTGCAGAGTTTCCCTGGTTTCCTCTCTCTGGTGTATGAAGGTTAGACTAAATCTATAGGGAAACCTTACGGTGAAATGACTTCTTAATCTCGAAAGCACACGCTCCGCCAGTGAGTGCAGACGCCCCAGCCCCTTCACAGAGTGCTAGAGAGTATCCCGGAGGGCTAGGGGTGGGTTAGTTTAATCGAGGTAGAGGTTGCATTGTAGGTATGTTCCTTCGCCTCTGCCCAGCCCAGCCCGCACATCTCCAACCCCCGGGTTTTGCACTTACCCAAGTTCAGAGCCCAAGGCCAGCCGCAGAAGCAGGCTGCATTCAGCCCCGCGGGAGTGGCTGGGCGCAGACCGATCCCGGGGCAGCACAGAGCCCAGGGGGACCGCAGCTCCTCAGCAGCCCCGACACATCGCGGCTCGGTGCGGGGCAGTCACTTCTGCAGGCTGGGACGGGCCAAGGAGGGACACGGCAGCGCCTGCCAGCGATGGGCGAGCTGCGGGGACCGAAGCAAGGGGCTGGCGGGGCTGAGATGCTGTAGTGGTTTATCAGGCTTGAGGGAGAGAGATAAGCAAGGGGGAGTTGGGGTGCATTTGCCTTCAGCACCCCAGGCCTTAACAGCACAGCGCCAGCACCCGCCTCTATGTTCCCCTCGGTGCAGTGCCCAGCCCGACTCGCCCCACTGTATTATCCGCTCCAGCTCTGGGGCGCCCGGACAGCTGATTGGTGGGTTGTTGGGCGGAGAGAGTTCTGATTGGCAGTAGGGGCCGTCGATTCCCTCCCTCTAGTCTCCAATCTCCGCCCCTGGTTGTGTCCGCCTGTCTGGGTGATAATAACGTGTCCAGCCCCTGCAAGCCGGGCGGTGTGTGAAAGCCACTGTTTATCCTTCAGACCTGCAAACACTAGGCGTACCCCCTGTATTGTAAACACATGGGTAAAGGGGAATTTTTCATGAGGTCAAAAGAGAGGAAAATCATAGCCAGCATAATGATTACAAATAATAAATAAAAGGCGCCGAGAAGTGAGATTGTCTCCTTATAGGCAGTGCGGTCATCAAGAGCAAAACCAATTTAAAATATCCAAAATAATATCACATTTTCCTTATGGGGTTAGGGTTGTCTAGCTGCATTAAATACGATTGGCAATGGCCTTTAAAAATCAGAAAATAAAACAGAATCGTGTTTTATTATGATGTGCAATTTAGAAATAAGGATTGTTATACTGTGCATTTATTTTGAACGTTTTCTTCCCTTAATTGGCACAACAATAATATTCCCCAACAAATATCATAGTCCTGAATAACTTTCTATTGTTGCTTCATTTCTGATGCTACATTTCAGGAGCAGGGGGCAGACAGCTTTGTTTCGTTCGAAACTTAATGATTAAATGATTACTTGCAAAGTTTCAGTTGTGCCAGAAATATTGTAAAGTGTCATTGCTTCGCAAGATAAAAGCGGGAGCCGAGGGAAGGTAAAAACATAAAAATATTGGTTATCCTGGATGTCAGGCTATCCTCAGAACTAGCAATTTCATCCAGAAGTTAACTTTATCCACATTGTGACCAGGAAAACAATTGTATGGAATCAAACTTTCCAACAATGTGCTGATCAAAAAGAATGATATAGATGAAAATATTCGCAGAGCAACTGCTTATTTGGGACATAAATACTCTGATAAATATTCCCCTTTACATTGTGTGTCTATGTATAGGTTAATATGTTTTCTTATATAATATAAACATATACGCGTATCCTATCATCAGAATATGTACCAACGGCGCGTATATAGTCAACATCTGCATTAGATATATCAGAAACTTGGCCTTAGTAACTCCGTTTTTTTCTTATATTTTTGTATCTCTTCTTATGATGTATGGATGATTGTGAAATGTGTTTGGAGATTCGCACTGGACCGTTCACACTCAGCTGGGTAGCGGTTCCTCTGTCCGCCTGGCTCTAGCCTCATGCAGGGACAGAGAACATCTTCATCACCTTTAGCCCTCTTTAGGGGAACAACTGTCCATCTGCGCCTGGAGAAAAGCCGTTGTTTCTCCATACGCTCATGTCTTCCCATCTTGGAAAGGATGGAGAAGAAAATTCAAGGGGGAAGTATCAACAACAGATGAGGCGCGAACTTACAAGTGAAGCATTTGCTTTAAATACGCTTTTATTTTAGCAAGTAGGTGGCCCTTTAAATAGCGCGGGGTGATCTCATTAGCTTTTGGTTTGGTTTGAACTCTTACATTTTCTATACGTTGCCTTTTTTAAAAAATAACCTGTTTGTATTTCCTTTTTACAGTAGTGTTCAGGTTAGAAGCACATGCCCCAAACGATTATAAAGGGCGATCGTTGGTCATTTCAAATATTTAGGAGCAATCCCACCAGGAGTTTTGTATACGCTTCAGCGAACAAAGCATAGAAATCTGTCAGCAGAAGCCAGTTTACTTGGGGGGCGGAGGGGGGGAAGGAGCTTGTTCTATAAACTCAAAATAAACAAATTAAAAGTGAATGTTCCCTGAATGCGATTGACTTTAAATACTTGTTATCTACAGTGAAAACAGTTCTCGGCGGTAGAAGTCTGTGTACTGTAAACTCCTCATCCGGGGAAATCAGCCTCAGCTGCTGAAATCAGCATCGCCGTGGATATGTGTCAATCCCCTTTCTAGTTACACCTGAGCCGCAAATTGAGAGGGGCCCTCTCTGGCCACGGCTGCCTAGTTAAACCATTGGGCAGGAAGCCAGTTCTCCCGCACGGGACCCGATCCTGCCCAGTGACAAAGATCCCTTTGACTACCAGGCCCACGTTTTCGTTTTAAATCAAAGGCAAATAACCTCTTACTCACGTTCCCGCTGCTCCCTTTTCTCATCAGGAGTTAAAACAAACCCGGACAGAGTGGATCGGTCCCAATAACAAGCCCCGCCAGTATCTATGGGGGGTCGTTTCTAAACCCTTATTCCCGGGGTGTAGCTGGGGTGTCTGGTTATTGGACCGCGAAATAGAACGTATTGAGCCGGAGCAGGCTCTTACTGGCCTGAATGCTGCAGTTTTCTCGTGTGCCTCACACTGAAAGAACCATTTCATTTGCTCACCTGATTGCGACTCGAAAGAAATAAATGCCATTGACTTTCATCAGCCAGCCCCTGAGGTTTCTACCTCCGTTTAGGGAAAAGCCCTGAGTGAAATTCTGGCCCCATTGAAGTCAATAACAAAAATCCCATTGACTTCGATGGGGCCAGGGTTTCTCTTTCCCCCCATGAAGTCTGAGCTCCTTCAGACTTGCTATTTCTCTCTATATACGACCTAAATCCTTCTCCGACCCGGCACCCTAACTCAGCGCTCTGGGCACCAAGATCTTTGTTCCATGTAGACCCTTCCTAGATAGAGCGTATGAACCCCCTGGGCAGTTAGCTTCTGACGCTATGGATGGGGCTGGAGGGGTGGGGATTTGTTTGTTTAGTTGATTGAAGTGATTCCTCTGAAATGAGTCTCTCTCACTTTTCCCAACCCACCAGTTATTTCTAAGACCCCTCCCCCCATTTTCTTCCCTGCATGTATTAAGGTTTGGAGAAATGATGTGGCTGTCGACTGGAGTTTGGGAATGGGGTATGTCAATTCATTGACACTGATAGCCACTTCCGAGAGCTTTTCAAACATGAAGGGGCCGGATTCTCCTAGTGAGGCCCATCAAACATGTGTCAAAGCTGGTGACAGTGGTGATTTTTGCTTCAGTAAGGACTGCGAGGTTTGGAAGGACTGATCGCCCGGCTTTTAAATTGGACTCGCTCTAATGCCTGGGGGCTAGCCTGATTCCCAAAACCTAGGCCCGGATTGTGTCGCCAGAACCCCTGCTCCCTTCTGTGCAATTCAATGACCCCTCCTCGGCGGTTTTGTCAATATTAGCTTTGCGGAACATTCCGAGCTCACCCAAGCTCTTTGGCTAGTTCAGGAGGTGTCAGGAGCTCTTCCACCGCCCCAGAACATCAAACGCACCGAGCTTCAAGAACATTTGTCCTCTTTGACCCGCAGCACCTTTGAGTGTTATGTAAAGAGGGAAACTGGGGGGGAAAGTGCATCTCCTGATGGCTGATATTATTCATCCCAAAAGAGACGCTGGCTACTGTTTGACTTATAAGCATGACTAAAAGGCAAATACCCAAGGAATTTCACTTTCCCCCTTGGGGTCCCTCTTAAAAGGGGCAGGCATGACACAGGACCTGTTAGGTTAGGAAACAGAAGTCCCCTTCGCTTGTAAACCGATACCAAATTACGAAGTAAAATTCTTTGTCACAATAGTAAATTACAAAACAGTTCGCCTAGTGTTTACTTTATCCGCGGGGAACTGTGAAACCCAGCCATGATTTTAAAGTATGTTTGTATAACTTTCTTCTTCTTAACTGTTGTTTGTGTTCAGTTTTTGCAGGACATATACGCTTCCCTCCTTGCCCGCTCCCTTACATTACAAATGTAACCGTGATCCTTAGTTGTTGCTTTCTAATTTGATTTACTTATGGGAAACATGAAGTAGTGTAAATAATAGAGTCCCTTGTTTACACATTCAC